CTGGGCTACTTCCCTGGGAACCTCCTCAGGCCCCACAATGCCTGCTGAAGTGGCTGCTTTCACATAACTTCTTTACAGCCAAGAGCAAACAATGAAAACACTCATTTCTGTTACGGGAACTTCTGCATCATAAAAGTAAAGCACTGTGTGCAGAGGTCAGGTTGCAGGCTGAAAGCATCTGTGTGGCCTTGTATAGCTTTAATCAGAAACAGAACTTCAAAAATGTTTTTGTTTTGTCCACTTGCTCAGATAAAGCAAGAGAGTGTGTTTCCATTTGACTCCCTGTTTTCAGTTGCTCATAACTTTAAGAAATTCTCTTTTGCTATTGAGATTCTCCAGGTTTGGTCTTAGACTAAAGATATTTTTTGCAGTTATAATTTAATCTGTTCAGCTGTTTGAGTTATACAAGGGTAAAGACTATTCTTTCCATACAGTTTTAAAGACACTGCTGTAACTTGATTTATGGGCCTGATCAAAAACCTATTGAAGTTATGCCATTGACCCAGTGGGCTTTGGGTCAGGTCCTCGGGGTGAAATCATAGTCCCATGAAAACCAGTGGGAATATTGTCATTGTTTTTAATGGGGCCAGGTTCTTACATCCAGTTTGGAGTTTTACACATATGGTATTTAAAGTATGCAAAATATTTAATTTCCAATAAGAACCAGGTTTTGGACCAATATGTGTTCAGACTTAAACAAAAGAACACATCCAGTATATATATTTTTTTAATTATGGACCTGATTTTGAAAGGGGTCTCTCAGTTTGGCTTCCCATTTAACACCCACAGTTTTGGAGCCACAGATATTTGTGACCACAAATTATGTGATTTGCATGGCTAGCTACATGCGATGTGGGCCCTACATTCAATATCTACAAGTTGTATACTAACAGATCCTTGAAAAAATGATTTTCTTGCCATTTCTGGACTCACCTTTACTCCTGTGCATTTTTGAGGAATAGGGTTACTAGGCGTCCGGTTTTCGACTGGAACGCCTGGTGGAAAGGGGACCCTGGCTGGCAGCTCTGGTCAGCACCGCCAAGCGAGCTGTTAAAAGTCTGGTCAGCAGTCCTGTGGGGCTAAGGCACACTAGTCCCTACCTGTCCTGGCACCATGCTGTGCTATGGAAGCAGCCAGCAGGTCTGACTTCTGAGCAGGAGGGCCATAGGGCTCTGCATGCTGCCCCTGCGCGGAGCACTGGCTCCGCACTCCCATTGGCTAGGAACTGCGGCCAGTGGGAGCTGGGGGGGAGGGGGGGCGGTGCCTTCAGGAGAGAGCAGCGCACGGAGCCTTCTGCCCCCGCCTAGGAGCCAGACCTGATGGCCACTTCCGGGGTGTAGTACAGAGCCAGGACAGGTAGGGAGCCTGCCTTAGCTCCACTGCGCCACTGACTGGGAGCCGCCCGAGATAAACCCATGCCCCAACCCCTGCCCCAGACCTGAGCTGCCTCCTGCACCCCAAGCCCCTCATCCACAGCCCCACCCCAGAGCCTGCACCCCCAGCCCAAAGCCCCTACGCCCTCCTGAATTGCAGCCCCCTCCTGCACTCCGAATCCCTTGGCCCCAGCCTGGAGCCCCATCCTTCACCCCAAAACCCTCATCCCCAGCCCCACCCCAGAGTCTTTACCCCCTCCTTCACCCTGAACCCCTCATTTCTGGTCCCACCCTAGTGACCGCATCCTCAGTTAGAGCCTTCACCCCTTCCTGCACATCTGCCTCAGCTCAGTGAAAGTGAGTGAGGGTGGGGGAGAGTGAGCCACCAAGGGAAAGGGAATGCAGTGAGCAGGGGGAGGGGCTTCAGGGAAGGGGCTTGGCCTCGGAGAAGGGGTGGGGCTAGGGTGTTCGGGTTTGTGCGATTAGAAAGTTGGCAACCCTAGTGAGGAGCTGAGAAAGCAGAAAGTGTGTTTTTGTGCTTGTGTGTGATCATGTGGTGATACAGACACACACACGCACATAAATACAGTCACAGTATTATATACATGTCTGAGAGTGTGCACACACATTGAGCAGCATTTAATGAAAAACTATTTATTTTCATTGAATTTTTTTCCCCCACACCCCTCTTAAAGAAGTAGAATCAGTTGCAAACAACACAGATATTAAGACATAAAGTACTATTATCTCTACTGTCCTTCACAGGCAGCTATGTCTGGAACAGTAGCCTTGGAAGATACTATTCTTCCATGGAATCCTAAAATCTGTGAGAAGCAAAATTCTGCAAGGTGGAGTAGAGAGAGGAAAATGTGTAAATAGATTGGCAGGTGTAGATGGCAGAATACAGAAATGTGCTTCTGTTGTCCTCCAAGTTTTGAGTTACTTTCAATAAAGGCTGAAAACGCTGTAGAGAAAATAAATGAATTAAAGAGGACTAGTAATGTAGTATTATAAGTAACACATGAAGTGAGGAAATTGACCCAAGTGTCTCTGAAATCATCTTGTTAGATTATTTATTTTGGCATGTGTCAAAGATGGGGGGGGAAAGCGTGTAGACTGAAACAGATGATGGAGAATGATGGTAATTTGGTTTCATAGCATTCCCAAGGGTCATTTGAGGTCTTAGGAAAGCATGTACAACAGGATTTGTACTGCGGTAATTGGAGGCTTTCTGAGAAATTTTAAAAAATGTTTCCATTTGTATTAGGACTAGGGACCAGTTTTTAACTCTGAGTTTTAATGCACATGGGGATATTACTCTTGAGTCAAATAGCAATTTACAGATGACAGCCTCTTAATTGAGTGGTTGGATTTTGCATCACTAAAGCCCCCTGTATATGGAGGCTTCAGAAAATGTATTCATGAAATTATTTGGTCTCACTCCACTTCTTTGAACATCACCACAGGTGTCAGTAATTGGCACCCTTGCTGACAGTCTTACAGAGGATTAAGAGGGCCATGAAGACTGAGCTCTTTTCTTAAGGTCAAGGTTGCGACACCTTGGTGGGAAAATGACGAGAAACCTACATTTATTTCTGTGGATAAACAGAGGAATTTAGTCTCCAGGACTGTCAGCCCCGTACCTGCCACAAGGACTAAAATTCAATTGCTTTATATTTTAAAGAAAATAGACACCTTTGTATGGTGTCTTGTGACTGTTTCATCTTTGCTTGCTTGGGGCAGTGTTAATTTCAGCCTATGCAATGCTAATTTGGCTCACCGTGCTTGGGTCTCCTGCACAAGGGTTAAACATTATTCTGCACCTGGCATTTTGAAAAGCTGTTTACCTGATCATTTCAACCCTATCTGTACATGTCTATGCTGCTGCGTACGAGAGCTGGGGTTGTTCAGTGTTTACATTGGCCTCCACTTACTAAATTTTATTGACAATTCATATTTTTTGTATACTTTAGAGTATAATTTTGTAATTGCCTAATAAGATACCCACAAAATCTTGGCACTTACAAAGTACAGAGTGTTCTGAGAAAAAAAATCATAAAAGAATTTCATACTTTAATTTTATGTGGCATTGTTCATCCTTGAGGAGGTCTCAAGACACCTTACAAAGACTGGTTTCAGAGGAACAGCCGTGTTAGTCTGTATTCGCAAAAAGAAAAGGAGTACTTGTGGCACCTTAGAGACTAACCAATTTATTTGAGCATGAGCTTTCGTGAGCCACAGCTCACTTCACGAAAGCTCATGCTCAAATAAATTGGTTAGTCTCTAAGGTGCCACAAGTACTCCTTTTCTTCTTACAAAGACTGATAGCCTCATCGTTGTTTTACAGATGGGGTGACTGGGCTCAGCCAAGTTAAGTGACTTGCCCAGAGTCACGCAGCTAGTCTGTGGCAGTGTTAAGAACAGAACCCAGACCTCCTGACTTGCAACCCTGTTCTCAGTCCAGCAGATCACAGCTGCACACGGGTGTATCTAAAATATTCAGGCTGGCCATATTTGTGTTGTATTCACATTCAGAAAAAAGCAAAGTCTCTTTCTTTTAAAGATTAACCCATGCCTCAAAGTTCAGATCTGGATCTCAGCTTTCTTAATGTTTGGAGGAACACTCTGACTCAGGGGTCTGATGTGGAAATATCTGTTGTTGTTGTTGTTTTGGCTTTTTATTTTCTTTGCAGCCCTTTATAAATACGGAATGCTGCAACTATTTAGGATAAGTGAAAGTTTACACGTGCGGGCTGTGTATGGAAGTGTATCTAGCACAGTACATAAGGTATCCCAAGAGAGATCAGTAGTGTCACTGATGTTTGAAATATGTTAGCATCAGTGTTGTTCCCTTAATTCTTTAAAAGGGTGTATGTGGGATCAAAATTTGTCCCTCTGAGTGCAAGAGAGAGTGAATACATCCAGCTTTCAAGAGGTTATTTCTCTCTCACACACACACATGCATCCTGCTGAAATCTCTGTTTAGAGACATGAATCCTGCATTGTCTGTGTATATCTCCTTTGCCAATCCAGGCTTTTGTGGACTAGACAAAATTATACTCCATTATAATCCAACAGATGTAGAGTATCAAGATGTATTTAGTCTTCCCAAATTTATTATAATAAAAACTCTTTCCCACCCCACCCCCCCTCTCTGGCCAAAACTGATGTTTTAGAACAGAGTTAAAATGACAGCATCACATTCAGAAAATGATAGGGTTTGTCTTCTCAGAGTATAGCTTTTGTAAGCAAAGTATTGGAGATCAATGGCACTATTCATAAAAAGTTACGCCATTTCCTTCTCTTTCAAAACATTGTATTTGGGAAATTTTTCAAGTGCTTCTTTATAAATTAGTAATTTAGTGGGTTTGGCGGGGAGGGTTGTTTTGTTTTTAATTATTCTTACCTAATTTATCCAGCACAAAAATGATGAGCCAGATCCTCAGCTGGTGTAAATTGGCATAAAGAGGTTCAACGACTCAGTAGAACTAGATCTACTTACATCAACTGAGGATCTTGCCCTGTATCTTCTGTGCAAACAGAAGTCAAGGAAGAGTTGCTATAAGATGGCCCTAAACTTCTTACTATCACTAGGAACACTGGTGGCTGAGGCCTCCCAAAGAGTGTCAAACAGTTCCCTACCTTACAAATTTGCATGTCATCCTTGCGCAGGGCCATTCTAATCTTCTCTGTATCATTCCAATTTTTAGTATATGTGCTGCCAAACAGCAGGTGACTAGTCACATACCCTTGCTTGGGGGAAAATCTTTATTGCAGTATTGTGTCGTTCTGTGCTCCTCCGAGGCTGACTGTGTTCTTGTTTTGATCCATGGCTTATGACCATCTGAGTTGAAAGTTGTCAAACCCCTCCCTACCTCCAAAATGCTGGGAAGGAAGTGGGTGCTGGGTTGCCTATCGGAATGCTGTCTCTGGACCCTGTTTTGAAGCTTCATTGTTTGCATCACACCTGTGCTCATACACGTCCATACTGCCCAGGGACTGCTGCTGGAAGGGAAAAAGGAGCGCTCTCGCCCTCTTTTTCCATCCCCTGAGACTATTAGAGGGATATCTGCCACTCTCCAGCCTCTGTGTTTTGGGTCTTCCCATTGACCAGCTCCAGCGTCTGAGGTTCCCTGTAGCTTTCACAAGAGGCATCAAAAGAGGGAAATCAGAAGGTTCTTGTCAGCATTACTCCTCTCCATAGGGGCCTATGCAGCACCAATGAAACCAACCGGGTTTTTGTTAAATTCTGCACCCCCACTCAGCAGCAGCAGATGCACAGAGCTGTTTTGCTGCAGATTCAGGAAAACCGCACTCCATTGGTTCCCTCTTGCAAGGCTTTCGTTGCAACCATAAGAACTAGAAATGTACTTTTTTAAATTAAAGAGTTGATTCTGCAGAAATTGATGGGTTAGGTCTCCTTATTTGCCACAGGTAGGATTTGTCAAGCCCTGACAATAATGCGTTGGCAGATACGCAGCAGGTATCTTGGTAAAATTGTACAATGGGATTTGGAGCCAATTTTGTCAGGTCTAATATCGCTCCAAACTACCTTTAAGGTAGAAAAAGACATACATTTACTTATTCACAGATTGTTAATGTAAATCTCTGAAAGGTGATCTACTAACTCAGTAATACTTGTGATTTCAGTGGCTGATTTAAAATTTTTTAATACTTTGTTGGTCAGTGCACAGAGGCCGGGTGCCATGAACAAGTGCTCCTCTGGGAGAGAGTCCTGCTTATTGTGTGTCCAGTTCTGAAGATCAGTGTAGGTTGATAGGCTACTTTGGCTCCAAGACTAACCTAAGTTTTGTTTGCTACTGATCATTTGTATTGGATTGGGTACAAAGAGATCATTTTAAATGCACACCATTTTAGGGTCAGATCTTCCACCTACACCCACTTATGCCAGCTGAGAATCAGGGTCTTTATTATGAAGTTTGAAGAGATAACATTTCAGTTGGCCGAGGAAAACAAAAGGACAAAATTCTGCTTGTACATCTCCATAGCAAATCTCAACTCCGGCACTCCTCTCCCTGACATATACAGAATTCCTATTAATGACACATTCTGCAATGTATTTCAGTACTAAATAGTGTTTCCATCTTTCTGCCTTTCTAATAAGACTCCTGTGATGATTCACAGTTCTCAGGCTTGAGTCAAAAGGACTCAAGGCAACTTCTTAAATATGTAAAAGTTGGGGCTGCTGAAGTTTGAAATCAGAGTTCAAATATCTTGTCTGATTAAGGGATGTTTCAATCAATGAAACAATCTAGTTCTGAAGCAAATATGAAAGAGCTGCATAGTACTCTTGATCCTCTCACACGATGTGCAGACATCAGAGAATTGTGTGTGTGGCTCAAAGACAGTAAGTAACCTTAAACATATAACGCAGTTCAGTGACACAAGGCTTACATTATGTAATTACAGTGGACCATATTAAAAAGATCCCCTTTGCTAACAGTTGCCACACAACAATATCACATACCACCATATTATCTTATACTTATCACTGTGATACATGAGCCAATCACCTATTTTAAGTATAGGCAAAGTAGTGTGGTATCTGATACCATTTTGTGGTGACTGTGGGAGAAGGATAACTCCTTAATGGTGATCACTGTACTGAGAAATAAAAATGTTCATTGTTAGCTCTGCTTTATTAGGCTATTCTTTCTACTACAAAAACATCCATTGTGTAGTGAATCTTGTACAGGCGTAATTTCTGCATCCCTGGCTCTAACATCCTGGTTGTTTCCTTAGCTTGTGTTGTGTCTTCCCTAAGCACAAAAAAGCTCATCCTTCCAGTGTAGCACTGAAAGATTTGTCATCCGCTTTTGATTGCAGTCATGGTGACTGCAAAACAAGGGCCCAGTTCTGCTCCTGCTGAAGTACATGAAGTCGCTCCAGCTTCGCACCAGTATTGGTGAGCTCAGAATTGGCCCTGGATCTGCATTTGTAAGGTGGCTGCCACCGAAGTGTTCAGTGTTTGAATGTGTATTGTTTCATGCACCGTTCCACTTCTCTCACTTTTGTTGGTGTGACACGGAGAGAGGTGTTAATTTTAGCTATGGAAAAATAACCTGGGGAATGATGGGATGAATGGGGGGTGGAGGAAGGGGGTGATCAGAGAGGTTTCTGTTATGTAATACTGAATTGAACAGTTAGATGAGCTGTGTTATAACAAGCATTTCGCACAAAAGTACTTGAAGTGCCATTCTTTTGTTATGGTTAAATGCACTGGGGCAAATTTTTGACAGTTCCGCTAGTTTGCTAAAGAGGGGATAATAGAATGCCAAGCGAGTACTAATTTTTCTGTCCCCCCATCCTAAACTTACATAATCTCAGCAGTGCTCTGTGTGGAGCCACTTGCCTCCCCACTGAAAATGTAGACTTAAGCATCATTAAGTACATTTGTGCTCCAAGGCAAAAGTATGTCAGTACAACGCTCACCTCAATCAGGCATCCAAACGTTTATCATGGCTAGAGCTGTGTGAACCCTGCAGGACTCAGTTTGTTTGAGGTTCTCAAGCTGAATCCTGCAGCTTTGATTGGCAGGGGCAGGCAGCAAAACAACCCCTGTCGGCTTGCATGGAGAATTGGGTTCAATAAACTCAATATGTTCCACTGCCCTCACTGTGTACCCTTGCGTCTCTCACCTCTGGCTTTTTGAGCATGTGTCAGGTGGTCATTTGCTTTGCCTAAGCAGCCCAGAAAGGAGCTTCAGGCCATTCAGAATATGCCTTTTCCCCAATTCATAAAGGCTCTTTTGAGGGACAGGACCTTCTTTGACCCCCATGGTGTGGCATGGAGTCCTAAGCCTGCAGCTTCTACTACAGATGCGCGCCGTATTGAGCTGGAACTGAAGGAAGCCCTATATTTCCTTTAATGGTCTTACAGGGCACAGTTGTTTGGAAATGCCTAGGGCTCCCAATCTAATGCACTAGGCATTATGGGGTTTCTGTCAGCCTCAGCTGAGCAGAATGTGAGGCTGGCAGTAGTAAGCCTAAACAGCTAATAGTCAGCACTCCCTTCTGTTCAGTGGAATGGAAGAGCTTGATGGCTCTAAATTCATGACTTCATGTGTTCTAATGTGAAGAGTGACCATAGGCATAGCATTTGGGGGTTCCATGGCTCAGTAAATTCAATACAAATGTGTTTAATTCACAAGAGAAAAAAAATTTAGTTTTTAAACTTCCAGTCATAAAGCTGGGATCTGAAAGTAATGCTGGGTCTTTATCTTGCATCATCATCAGTATATTGCCTCTTCATCAGCAGTAATACATTGCCTAGGCAAAATTATGCCCCGAATTACATTTGTGAAGCATTATTAGATTGCCTTGTGAGGTTGCACAGGTATAAACGAGGGCCTAATTTGAACTGCAGTATTTTTTTTCTGAAGATGATGCATGAGAAGGACACAGTCTGATAAGTTTGTAGCATTGGGAGTTTAGAGGAAAAGACACTCCCCACCCCCAGCAATTGGAGCAAATTCCAATACGGTCGTCATTTTGAGACAATTAATATGCCATAAAAATCTACACTATCCTTTTTAGTCACCTTCGGAGCAAGGTTCCATTTTAATAGAGTGTGACATTAAATCCATGGCCATTCACCATGGATTTTAATTTTGTTCCAGGTACGAAACTCCTGGGGCTGCTTAGATTTTGGGTCCCAAAATCAGAAGCCACCCACTGGGCTCTCTCCATGACAAAAAGTAGATGATGGAGGGATATTCGTTCTGACCTACCTCTAATCCTAAGGAATGTTGCACATTCCTAACTAATTACAGTTATTAGATAGCGGGAAACACAATATAGAAGTGGTATCGCTTTTCATGACAATCTGTGCTTACACTTCATTTATATTGATTTAATGCTTATAAAGGTGGCTGGACAGTAGCTGCCCATTCTGTACGTGTTCATCCTTGCTTCATGCTGCTTTCTTTCTCCCCACAGTTTGCCAAGGAACAAGTAACAAGCTGACCCAGCTGGGGAACGTGGAAGACCATTTCACTAGCCTGCAAAGGATGTATAACAATTGTGAGGTGGTGCTTGGCAATCTGGAGATCACGTATGTGACACGCAATCATGATCTTTCGTTCCTGAAGGTTAGTGTAGCTAATCACATTGCTCTGATCCAGCATTCAATGTACATTGGTGAGATCCACACAACCTCAAGAGAGTTTAACTCCTAATCGAGATATTTTTCTAGTCTGAGTTACCTGTTTAAGGAATTGAATTGTTTTTTGAAGGGGAAGGGTCAAATATATATAAAATGCGGTGGCAAATGTAAACCCTGTTCAAACACATAGTTGCTGATTGTCAGTTAGAGGCATCACAGAATGGAATTCTAAAATACCTGTCTATCTAGGATATGCTGTACTTGTATCAATGATTTCACAGCACCTAACAAGCAGTTTTTCTCATGCTCATCACCCACTGCTCAAAAGTAATTATTTTAAATGAGAAGTATTGCACTCCTGTTCCCCTCCTCTCCCCCCTCCCCCCATGCTCCCAGGGGAAATGGAAAAGCTCTGCACTGTGCCCTAAAGATAACCAGATTTGAGGAGTTGTGAGACCAGTGAAGCAAACTGCAGTGTTGATGGCTTTTCACTGAAAATGATCATTAGCTTGATCATTCTATTGCCTTGATGATACCTGGCAAAAGATGTAATCTCCCTAATAACTAGAAATCAAGACGTGTAACATCAGCATCCATCATTACTTGTGTAATATGTTCCTGCACCAAGTAAACCAGCTGCGTTCTGTCCAGACAATAATTTTGAGTGACCTTCAAGGATAATCATAGACAGTAATTCATGAACTACTTTCCATTTCTACATTTGTCTCATGCTCATTTCCATGCACAAGTGAACTATTGTTGGGAGGGAATTCGAAAAGAAAGGGACATAAATATTTTACTGCATGTATTGAAAAAAGTGCTTTCTGGCACGGCACAACCAGATAGCACAGGAAGGTTGTGGAACAGCTGGGAGTAGAACTCAGCTCTTCTGACTGCCAGTTTGATACCTTACGCACTAGATCAGCAGTTCTCAAACTGTAAGTCGGGACCCCAAAGTGGGTCGGGACCCCATTTTAATGGGGCTGCCAGGGCTGGCGTTAGACTGGCTGTGGCCGAAGCCTGAGCCCCACTGCTCGGGGCTCAGGCTTCAGCTTCAGCCCTGGGCTGCAGGGCTCAGGTTACAGACCCCCTACCTGGGGATGAAGCCCTTGGACTTTGCTTTGGGGCTGCCGAGGATGATGGGGCTCGGGCTTTGGCCCCTCAGCCTGGAGCATCGGGGCTCAGATGGGTTAAGACTTCAGTCCCTTCTCCTGGGGTCGTGTAGTAACTTCTGTTGTTAGAAGGGGGTCGTGGTGCAATGAAGTTTGAGAAACACTGCAATAGATCATGCTTCCTCAGATTTGTGCTTTTGAAATAGTGTTTTCAATACTCAGTTTATTTCGTGCTTGGTTATCAGGTTACAATATTTTTGAATGCAGAGAGATTATGGGATTAATTATATCAAATATAGCTCACCTGTGTGTAAAAAAATAGAGCTGTGGGTTACCAGAGATTTATGGGTGGGTCACTGATCTGAGTTCTGAGGTGGTGATTTTTTCAAATGAATCTTGTTTTCCTCTCAGCAAACAGCTTGACACAATGACACTAAATGTTTTTGTTCCTTCTAATTTTCCTCAGACCATACAGGAAGTTGCAGGCTACGTGTTAATAGCACTCAACAATGTGGATAGCATTCCACTGGACAATCTCCAGATCATCCGAGGAAACGTGCTTTATGACAACTTTTACGCACTAGCAATTTTATCCAATTATCAGACAAATATAAATAAAACCAGTGGACTCAGGGAGCTACCAATGAAACGGTTATCAGGTAAGTGATGGGGCAGACAATGTGATTCTGAACTGTTACTTTATTTGAAGCAAACTCCCAGATCTTTATGAAAAGCTTCATTTAAGAAGCATTGACCTGTAGAGTCCTATTCCGAAGGAGATACTCTGAATGAAGTTAAATGTAGTTTATCCAAATACCTGCCCACTTTATAACTATCCAGTTTACTGGTAGTGATGGAAAGTTCCTTGTTTTACAATGCATCAGCCCAGGACATCCGGGGGTTAATCAACTTAGGCGCTATAGAATTGCAGAGTAATGAGTGTTGGCCCAAAACTGAGAGGTTTTTGGTGCCAATTTGAGATGCCTTAGAGGGGGCATGATTTTCAGAAAGTGTTGAGAACCTCAAAGTGCTTCAATCTGAGCATCCAAAAATGGAGACACCCAGAATCACAACTCACTCTTGAAAATTTCAGCCACTCAGTTTTGACACCGAGTTTTGCATTTTGTGCACATCCATAATTTCTATTGGCTTCACTGGGTTGCGGGGGGAAGGGGCAGAGGGTTGTATATGGAAAGGCTGCAGCACTGGACCCTTATTCGACAGTTAGTTATGCTTTCTTTCAAGTGTAATAATATATTGTAGATTGTCCTTTTCCATTAACATGACATCTGATTGTGTTTATCTCCTTTTCAAGAAGGAAGGAAGAGAGCAATCATGCAATTGCTTCATTTTGTCCTGTTTTTCTTTTGCAGAAATTCTTAATGGAGGAGTTAAAATCAGCAACAATCCACAACTGTGCAACATGCAAACAGTTCTGTGGGACGACATTATTGATTTGAACAAAACACCTGCAATGCTGTTGGATTATCAAAATAATCTGACTGATTGTAAGTATATATTTAACAAAACAGTAGTCACTCCATTAAAGACAGCAGTACCATCAACCTACTTATTGCATTATAGAGCTCCATTTCTGCAAACACTTTTATGTAAATGCATTGACTTCAAATCCTGTTCACGTAGAAACCAATTATATTTTGTAATCAAATTTACGAGGACCAAGATTTGGACCTAAGAGACTGATACAAAGCACACTGAAGTCAATGGATTGGCTCCCATTGATATCAGTGGGCTTTGGGTTGGGTCTTAAATATGTGCTTCTTCAGTGAAAATGATACACCAATGTAATGCATACATATTTTCTTTCCAATGATTTTAAATTTACAGCGTGAGATCCTGATTCAGCAAAGCTCTTAAGCGTATGCTTAACTTTAAGCATGTGGGTACTCCCAAGGTGCTTAAATGCATTGCTGGGTTGAGGCCCTAATTCCTATTTGTGAATATCATGAACTCTACACATGGTTTGACAGTATTAGGAAATCTTTGCAAAAATGAAGACCAGAAATGGATAAATAGCGATACTTCAGATCAGTATAGAGTATGTAGCATGTAGATTTGAAAGCTTACATGACATGTATCCATGCTTATATCTGACCCAAGCCAGTACTGTTAATCCTTTGTAAGATCTAAATTCAGCTCAGAAAATTTTAAGAGGGGAGAAAAGAGATGTGGGGTTTTTTTTTTTTGTTTTTTTTTTTTAAATTCTTGAGCATTTTTGGCACTACAGATTGGCACAATGTTTATTTTCTGATCTACTTCCGTGAGAAATTGACTAAGTACTAACAGACACACTCTGTTGACATACACCCTGGAACCCCATTGCAGTCAATGGGATTGCAGGAGGTGTAAATCGGCGCAGAGTTTGGCCGTGAGTACTATGGAAATTTTAACCTTTAACTTTTAAACTTAAATCCCTTTGGTTCAACAGTAAATCAGTCAGTTATTAGACAAATATTGGCACTTGTTCAGCTATTTTGGCAGTGAGGGCGTTGGAAAGAGCCATGTGTTATTAGCTGGACAAAACTGTCCTAGAAAGAAATACTCCTTAAATATAGTAGTAAGTTTCAGATAATCTGTTCAGGCAGCCATTTTTCTTTTTAAATAATGAGCATGCAAGATAATTGTGTCCCTGGGATTTTACCTGTCATTAGAAAACAAACAAAAATAAAAAGCAAAACAAAGCAACAAAAACAACAATAAAAAAGTAAGGGGGGAGGGGAAAGGATTGGCAGGCCTGTACTAACTCTACAGATTAGTTAGTTTTGTTCACCCTTACTTGTTTTCATTAATTGTATGTGTGCTGCATAGTTCAGTGCTGAGAACTACTTTTGTCAGAGCTGTGGAGACAAAAGCAATTAAGTCAGAGTGCAAATTACCTTGTGGTTAGAGTAAATGTCACCAATCATTTGCAAATACAGTCATATTTGTTTTGTTGTCAGCAGTGTATTATTCAAAAACATTGATTTACATGCCAAATTACTATCTGGCCATGAGTTCTAACCATACAGAGTTTCAAGGTGAGGAGGCCAGTTAGTCTTTCAGTTTTCAGTTCCCAGAGATGATGTACTCGTTTCAGATTCCATTCTACCCAGTTCTAGATGCAGATTGCAGATACACATACTCTTCAAGTTAGGGCTCTAATTCTACCTGCTGACTGATTACCTACAAATCTACAGTATCAATAGCAAACACTAATTGGCAAGTTCTTAGTTTTATTTATTTTATATAAGAAACTTTAAAAATATAGAATTCTGATTTTTCCTTCAGAAAATCAGCTTTGTTAATTCAGCATTATATACAGCATTCTTAACTGAAGTAATAGTCCAGTAACATATACATGTGGCTGAAAAGTTTCAGATTAAAAGGTTGAGCTACTTCTGAGAATATGATTAGGAGAAAATAAGTAATTTTGCTTGTGTTAAAATAATTCTTTCAACCATTTTGTTGAGAAACTCCATGCTTTGGAGCAGGCATTTGAAATTTGTCAGGGGGTGGGGCATTGCCCTGGTGTCAGGAATGTGCCTTTTGCCATCCCTCTGAACTTTCATCCACATTTAGCCAAGTTATTTATAAGCCTCTGAAAAATCACAGTTCACACATGCTCAGAAGAGGCTTGATATAGTATGACAGCCATATTCTCTGTATTGGACATGCTCTCCTTACAACTCCTGTGTGCCAACCAGGCTGTGCATGTGCCATCCCCATAAAATAACTGAGCCCTGGTCTACAGTACAAACTTATGTGAGTAAAACGGTTTCTCCAGGGTGCAGAAAATCCACACCCCTGAGTGACGCATTTATATTGACCAAACTCCAGGTGTAGACAGCTCTGGGAGAGCTTCTCCTGTCAACACAGCTACCGCCTCTCAGAGAGGTGGAGTACCTACAGTGATAGGAGTGTCACGCTGTCTGGAGTGGTTCACAAGTGTGAGTGCCTGTCTCAGGGCAGACTGTCAGAAAACAAGGGCAGACACCCCAGACTGATGGTATATTCTGTTATTAGATTTCACCAAGCCAATAACAAGTGTGAACTCTTGGATCACTATACCAGTCTTACCATGGAGTCACAGGCAGTCGGCTTAGCCTCTCCAGCCTATCTTGTCACCCAGACAAACTGAACTTAGTGATGATGGTCACATAAACCAAAAATCACACCCCATCAGGTTTCTCCCAGTCCCAAATGGCCACTTACTCCCAGATCAGTTGGTACGCTGGATCTTACACCAAAGACATTGCTGGCAGCCAATTCTATAGTAAACTAACTATAGGTTTATTAGCTAAGAAAAAAGAGTTATTGGGAGGTTAAAGCAGGTAAAATATAATAACAGGTGAGTCCAAGTTTGTAAGTCCAAAACGATAGCAGAAATGTAGTAATCTGGCAGTTTCCCAAAAGCCTTTTCCAGGGCTACCCAGAATAATTCTGGAGGTCTCCGTCTACTCATTCAGTTATTCTGCCCTGTTAGAATCCAAACAGTCTAGAAAGATCCTTTGAATCAGTACTGATAGCGTCTTTTCACAGACAACAATCTGACAAGTATCTGAACCCACACAATGGTCGGTTGCTTTGAATTTAGCACTCCTCTTCATTTGCATTTGATGAGTTATTTAGTTACAGGGATATACACAATGTAAATGCCTGCCATTACATTATAATAGGAATAGATAAGTGAAAACAGTACAAGTAACATTCCATTAGTTTTCATGAAGTTCTAACACCTGACTACGCTCTTACATTAACACACACTTTGATCTATTTAATTATAGGGCATGCTTAATGTAATAGTAAACAGGATATAGATAGGCAAAAGCAATGCAGTTAACATCTCCTTTGATCTCCATTAAAGCACAAGTGAATTGGCCTGAATATATACTAATACATTTAACTCCTTTGATATTCACACACAAGTGAATTGGCCTATGTCTCTGACCTGAGCTGGTCTGTCAGTATTCTAGGGAGAAGCTCTCCTGTCGGCATAGGTAGTGTCTTCGCTAAGCACTACAGCACTGTAAGTGTAGATGAGCCCTGAGTATTCTCCAGCCTAGAGCTTCAGGGGCTAAGCAGAAGTTTCCTTTCAAGTGCTTCTCTCCGGTGCTGTGAGCCACTATGGTGCCTAGCACTGAAACCAAAAGCAGGCAGAACAGGCACAGAGGACCAGGGAGAATAAGAATAGAGGGAGACTGATACAGGAGCTGGTGGTGTGGAGAGGGACAGAAGTTGGAGAGAGTGGATATGAACAGAAAGGGACAAAGTTAGGAGCTGGGGATGGAGAGGAGCAGAGAAGGACAGACAGGCAGGTGGGGACAGGGAAAGAAGGGTTTGTAACCAGTAAATTACACTCCCCTCCAAAGCCTGGAATAGAATCCAGTCTCAACATTTCTCTGCTGTCAGCAAAATAGTTATGAAATCCACTGGCAAAGTATGTGTCTCCTCTTTCTCTAGTGGCTGATCCAATTGGATAACTGCCTACTAGTACCATTACACCATTAGCTCAAGCAATAGAGAGGTATCTGCTCTGGATTGAATATCCCAGCCCTGCCAATGTCCTATGCTGGGGTCAATCTGGTTCCATATGATAGAATTTCTGGTTTTTCAATTTGCTTCTTTAAAAACGTAGGGTATCACATACAAGAAGAGTACGCTAGAAGAAAGTTACGGTGGTAAAGTCAAGCAATCAAACATTAGGAAATGCTAGACTTAAGATGTTGCTCCATCTCCCTCGTGCTCCACCCTTCCTGCTGCCCCTCTACCCATATATGCATATGCATTAAGATGCAATTAATTGCAGGATCATACACTGTTTTTTCCACAGGACCCCTGCCTCATTCAGTACACAGGATGGACAGTGCTTACTGAATGGCTATCTATTTCATGTTTATTTTTATCCTCATCATTCAGTGTGTGGCACAGAAGCTCTCCTGTAGCTCTAGTAACAGGCACGTGGGGGATATGTTGTGACTTAAAGACTAAGATTCAGCTCCTAACAGCCTTGGTGTGTTATCTAACAATTGTCTGTTACATCATAAAGGTTTTCCTATCAATTTAACATTTACATTTTAGGTTCTAAGTGTCATGCAAATTGTACAGAAGACCACTGTTGGGGTGCCGGCATAGAGAACTGCCAGACATGTAAGTCCACAGATTAATTTAAAATATCCTTGACTGTATGCCCTTAGGTATTTGTTTGTTTATTATTCACTGAATACTGTCCCTGTCACATCCTGATGTGATGACAAGTGTTTTACAGAGAACACTGTGCTCCCCTCCACTGCCCTGAGGACCCATAAGCACACTGTGGACCTGGGTGCTTGCTCCCCTAGCAATCAGTCAAGTCTCTGAGTGATAGTTAATGATGATCCTTGCGGTGGTAACTTGCACTGTGTTTTTGCATATGAACGCCCCCCCCTCTTCTTGTATAGCAAACAAAAAAAAAGGCAAACAAAAGCCATTGCAGCTCCTCACTGAGTGGACACATTTGTGGAGAGAAAGGAGGCCTGGTGAACAGCACAGAAACCCCAGAATAATTTGGAATGGACCAAGATTTCTCCATGAATGCTCAGCCTTTGTGTGACACTTTCAGTTTTAGAAGCTGTAATGTGAATTTTCTCCACATCTTTTGTTTCAAGTAGAATGACTGTGTATTAACATACAAACTCTTACAGAATTTTTTAGGCTGAGAATGGGAATAACTCACCACTACTGGTGGTGGGTTTTTTTTGTTTTTGTTTTTTTTAAATCCCCTTTGTAGAATTCCTTCCAACCTGAATACCAGATATATGCTGCAGGCATATAAAGCAAGTCCTGACCACTCAGAAAATGAAGTGATGGCCTTTAAAGGGTGCAGGGCCCAGGGGATTCACAGCACAGGAGAGGTGTCCTAATTATTTATAGAGCACTTTGGAATCCTTAGGCGCTCCAGTCACTCATAGGCTGAACACGCTTTACCCTGTAATTTTGCATTTTGGATGCTTACCCTGGGCATCAAGAGAACAAGAAACACAAGATGTTTAGAGACACTTAAAGGTCTTGTGAGGATTTTACTTTTCAGTATATGATGACTGATGGGGAATGTACTTTGAATACTTTTTATTTCTTTTGATAGTTTATTATTTCACTGCTTTATAATGTGTAGTCTGCATGCAGGGAAATGCTATGGGTTCTTGTTCTTTTCTCGTACCAGCTTTACACTAGCATAATTCCACTGAGTTCAGTACTTCTGATTTAAAAGTGACAGCAGAATCCAGCCCTACAAATGTATTTAAATCTGAGCATCTTGCTCACAATTCAGGTATCAGGCCAGATCTACATAGCTTCAAGAGCAGGTTGAAAAAAATCACTCCAATATTCCTCTCTTTCTCCCCCACCCTCTATTTTTCATCAGTTTCAAAACTTTTCAGCCATAGTCAGTCCTTCACAGCTGCTCATAAAACACCCTATACTGGATATTGTGGGACTAATTCTGCAGTTACTCTGTACACATTGATGTAAATAGTGGTTCTACGTGCAAAGTACTTGCAGGATCATGTCCACTGTTAACATGGTGTCCAGAGGTAATACTAAGCTTTAGGCTTAAGAAATTGAGATCCTAATCCTGCAAACATTTATGTATGGGCATAAAGTTAAGCATGTACATATGTGTTTCCAGGATGGGGTTTATTTAGCAATTAACACTCATTTTGTTAAGCTGTTTATGAATCTGGCCAATGAGAAATTCATCCCATAGGTGGGACATCTTTATGTTATATTTCTTTCCATCCTTGAACATATGTGGAATGTACTGCACAAAATATAAACATTTGCTATGATATACTTCCAGTGGGACGCTTTTGTCAATTGTTCTCAGAATGATGAGCCGTTTTACACCCCTGCTGATGCTTACGAAAATGATATGAAAACTCTGTTGTAAAACAATGTGTCTTTTATCTCACTGTTCTGGTTGTGTGGAGGAGTTGCTGCTAGACCAATTATGTGTATTTTGGAGATAATGTTTCCTTGAAAATGTAGTATTTGGTTACAAATATGAGATCACAAAATAATAAAGTTTAGGTGCAAAAGTTTAACAGAAAGAAAAAGTAAATAATAATAAAACAAAAAAATAGAAGAGGAAAGAAACAAGCCTATACTGGTTGATTACCCTGTAGCAGAGTACCATTCTCGGATGATTTAAGTGTTAACTGTGATTGAACTGCAGTGTGACTGTCAAGGTTCCTCCCCCACTCTGAACTCTAGGGTACAGATGTGGGGACCTGCATGAAAAACCTCCTAAGCTTATCTTTACCAGCTTAGGTCAAAACTTCCCCAAGGTACAAAATATTACACCCGTTATCCTTGGAATGGCCGCTACCACCACCAAACTAATACTGGTTACTGGGGAAGAGCTGTTTGGACGCGTCTTTCCCCCCAAAATACTTCCCAAAACCTTGCACCCCACTTCCTGGACAAGGTTTGGTAAAAAGCCTCACCAATTTGCCTAGGTGACTACAGACCCAGACCCTTGGATCTTAAGAACAATGAACAATCCTCCCAACACTTGCACCCCCCCTCTCCTGGGAAATGTTGGATAAAAAGCCTCACCAATTTGCATAGGTGACCACAGACCCAAACCCTTGGATCTGAGAACAATGAAAAAGCATTCAGTTTTTTACAAGAAGACTTTTAATAAAAAATAGAAGTAAATAGAAATAAAGAAATCCCCCCTGTAAAATCAGTATGGTAGATATCTTACAGGGTAATTAGATTCCAAAACATAGAGAACCCCTCTAGGCAAAACCTTAAGTTACAAAAAAGATACACAGACAGAAATAGTTATTCTATTCAGCACAATTCTTTTCTCAGCCATTTAAAGAAATCATAATCTAACACATACCTAGCTAGATTACTTACTAAAAGTTCTAAGACTCCATTCCTGGTCTATCCCTGGCAGAAACCAGCATACAGACAGACACAGACCCTTTGTTTCTCTCCCTCCTCCCAGCTTTTGAAAGTATCTTGTCTCCTCATTGGTCATTTTGGTCAGGTGCCAGCGAGGTTACCTTTAGCTTCTTAACCCTTTACAGGTGAGAGGAGCTTTCCCCTGGCCAGGAGGGATTTCAAAGGGGTTTACCCTTCCCTTTATATTTATGACATGCCCCCCAAATCTCAGCTAGGGTGAAACACTGGCTGGGATTTCTTCCTGAGCTCTAGGAAAAACAGAGTTAAGAAGACACATGCATCTCTAAATATACTACCAAGTACATAAAGACTAACAATATTTTCCACATCTCAAGGACGATTTTAACCAGTTGATTCTGGGAAACTTTCACGGGAGAGTGCATCAGCCACTTTGTTAGAAGCTCCTGAGATGTGTTGGATGTCGAAATCAAAATCTTGGAGAGCTAAACTCCACCGAAGAAGTTTTTTGTTAGTTTCTTTGACGGTGTGAAGCCACTTCAGTGCAACATGGTCGGTTTGCAGGTGGAAACGCCGTCCCCAAACATATGGGCGTAGCTTTTCCAGAGCGTAGACAATGGCGTAACATTCTTTTTCAGTGACTGACCAGTTGCTTTCCCTCTCAGACAGTTTTTTGCTGAGAAACACTACAGGGTGGAATTCTTGATCAGGTCCTTTCTGCATTAAAACTGCTCCCACACCACGCTCAGATGCATCTGTGGTTACTAGGAACGGTTTGTCAAAGTCTGGGGCCCTTAGTACAGGGTCAGACATGAGTGTCGCTTTAAGCTTGTTAAAGGCCTTCTGACACTTTCCGGTCCACTGAACAGCATTTGGCTGTTTCTTTTTGGTTAGGTCTGTCAGTGGGGCAGCGATTTGGCTGTAGTGCGGTACAAATCGTCTGTAATAACCAGCCAAGCCTAAGAAGGATTGAACCTGTTTCTTTGACTTTGGGACAGGCCACTTTTGGATAGCATCCACTTTGGCCTGTAGGGGGCTGATAGTTCCTTGACCCACCTGGTGTCCAAGGTAAGTCACTCTGTTTAGGCCTATTTGACACTTCTTAGCCTTAACAGTTAGTCCTGCCTCCCTTATGCGCTCAAGGACTTTTTGTAGATGTTCCAGGTGGTCTGCCCAGGAATCCGAAAATATGGCCACGTCGTCAAGGTAGGCGACTGCATATTCTCCTAATCCCGCTAGGAGACCATCTACAAGTCTTTGGAAAGTGGCGGGTGCATTTCGCAGCCCGAAAGGGAGTACATTAAATTCATACAGCCCGAGATGTGTGATGAAGGCTGACCTTTCCTTGGCAGATTCATCTAGCGGTACCTGCCAGTACCCCTTGGTTAAGTCCAAGGTAGAGATGAACTGGGCCCGTCCCAGTTTCTCTAATAGTTCATCTGTGCGTGGCATTGGATAGTTGTCTGGGCGAGTTACAGCATTTAGCTTACGGTAGTCCACGCAAAAACGTATTTCCCCATCTGGTTTGGGAACTAGAACCACTGGAGATGCCCATGCACTTTCAGAGGGGCGGATTACACCCATCTGTAACATATCCTGGATCTCCCGTTCTATAGCAGTTTTAGCTTGAGGAGACACCCGGTAAGGTTGGACCCTAATTGGGTGAGCATTACCTGTGTCAATGGAGTGGTATGCCCGTTCAGTCAGTCCTGGGGTGGCTGAGAACGTTGGCGCGTAGCTAGTGCACAGCTCCTGGATCTGCTGTCGCTGCATACGCCCAAGGGTCATGGAGAGGTTCACCTCTTCCACACCACCAGCACATTTCCCTTCGTAGTAAACACCTTCAGGCCACTCAGCGTCGTCTCCTCCCTGGGCTGTAAACTGACAAACCTTTAATTCTCTGGAATAAAAGGGCTTTAGAGAATTAATATGGTACACCTTAGGCTTCCGGTTGGAGGTGGGGAATGCTATGAGATAATTAACAGCTCCCAGGCGCTCCTGGACCATGAATGGCCCTTCCCACGATGCTTCCATTTTATGGGCCTGGAGCGCCTTTAAGACCATGACCTGGTCTCCTACTTTGAAGGAACGCTCTCTGGCATGTTTATCATACCAGGCTTTTTGCTCTTTTTGAGCATCCTGTAAGTTTTCTCTAGCAAGGGCTAAAGAGGTTCGGAGGGTGTTTTGTAGGTTGGTTACAAAGTCCAGAATGTTAGTTCCTGGAGAAGGTGTAAATCCCT